AGGCAGCTGCTGAATATAACAAGAGGAATACAAATGTCTGTATTTTTTTTACGATCGTTGCCAGTAGATTATGGTAGCCGTGGCGGAAAGTTCAATCAGTGAGCCGAGTTCAAATTCCGGACGAATCTACCGCGTTCGCTGTTGCACAAATGTCGTTGGGAAGGGCATCGGTGAATTTCTTCTTCCACCGGTTAAAGAGCAGGACAGACTGAACTCTCTAGCCATGAGTAGCAGCCAGTCTAGGAGAAAGATTACTCTGAATTTGAAACAAATGAATCGAGAATTCACTCGGTTATAAGTCTGTGGAGGGCCATGATAGGCTATGCCTTGAAGGTACATGGCATTAAAAAAAGATCATAAATCTATATTGCTTTCATAGACCGGGTTCTTTAGCCTTGGGTGGTATCCAGTCTACGTGAAGGATTACTCTGAATTCAAAACTGTGGAGAAGATAATCGGAAACCACTCCCCTAGTTTTCTCAGTGAATGATGGAAGGTCATAAATAGTAAAGAAAAACCGTTTTGCAGAGCTCTGAAGAGTATTAAAAATATCAGATTTTCAAACGAATGTACCTTTATATATATATATATATATATATATATATATATGTGTGTGTGTGTGTGTGTGTGTGTGTGTGTGTGTGTGTGTGTGTAAATTTCCGGATACCAAAAACCTTTTAAACCAGAAATCCGAAGTCTTAAATCCTTGCTTACATATCAGAAAAGTTTCTTAAGTGCATATGAGACTGGATAAAAAAAATACTTTTAACTAATATATATATATATATATATATATATATATATATATATATGAATTTTATTTCAATCCTTCATTAGCTTCCGACCCTTAGCTATGATTAATTAATGACGAACATGTCATTTTTGTTTATGATCGATTTCATCAGGATTCTTCTGTTAATAGAGAGTAATTATACATTCTTATTTCTCAAAGTAAAGTGCAGTGGTGTTATGAAAACTTTGAAGGATTCCAGTAAGATATCTTTAATCATTTCTAAGATGCAACGGTTCAAATCTTAATCTAACAATTGTACAATTTTACTGTCACACCTGTTATACAATAATTATAGTTTAAGCTCTTCTTCTCTATCGAGCACTGTTTTTTTTTAAAATAAAAACATAAATACTAAAGAACGTTGGATTATTAATCTGTTCTTTCCCATTACACACACACACACACACACACACATACATACATATATATATATATATATATATATATATATATATATATATATATATATATATATATATATATATATATATAGAAGGCATTGTGCCAAGTTTCTTTTTTTAGAGGCACGCACATACTCAACAGGTGTAGATGTTGTTGCAAAGATAAAGGTTGGCTAAGAGACGAGAGTAAGAAGGTTGTTGGGGTAAGTTTGCAGGTTGCTTCCTACCCTCTTCTGTAGTCTAACTGTGTGGAGGTTTTCTTTTCTTTTCTGTATCCTCTTCTGCTTGTTTCTTTTTCTTTTTTTATTTGCTATTTGTTCGGATCCATTAGATTAGTATCAGTGTATCTTTGCTAAGGTTAGGGCCATCGGCTAACGTGACCGCCAAGCACTGATTCTGATAACAGTCAAGGTAAGCCTACACCTGTGCAAAGACGTCAACGCGTGCACAGGTGGTAATTTACGCGCACCCAAGTTGGCTGCCGTTCATATATTTGATGAAAGATATTAGTTCCAAATCTTGTTACAGATATATATGTATATAATTCTTACTTCTAACTTTATCATGTTGGATAATTCGTATTTGAAATAAACGTCCCATTTTTATTCATTCGCACTTCTCCCAGGTATTTTGAACAGGAGTAGACGTTTATCATTTGTTTCCTGTTTAGGGGTGCGTTTACAGTTTCTTCTAAAATCTTTTAATTCTCTTTCACTCCTAGTAGCCCTTTGGTGAATTGACTTAAAAAAAACAGTGTGCATTACGTCTATCGGCAAATTTCTATTAGAGAAATCTTAGAATAAAGTGCTTTACTGAGGTTCCGCGAAAGGGCAGGCCTATAGATTTAATACACATTTTTTAATAAATAAAATGGGGCGAGTCTTCGAGTCTAGAAGAATGTTCAACAGAACGCAGAAACCACTGTAAGGCCGTTTCGTCCTACTTTAGGACTCATCAGCAGTGCGCATCCACTACCGAGATTCGAACCCGGACTGTTTCGATACAACGCAAGCGTCACACCAAATATATCAACAGTTCACAGTGATGATGAATAACCTGCATAGACACGATATATACAAGTAATAGAATTTTAGACTTTTAAACAAATCATTCATAGTAATTCTATTATTTGTATATCCTTGCTTGACCCAGCTAATGCTCTGCGATGGAGCGATGAAGAGAAAAGGAAAGACGTGTCTCTTGGGGCACAATCCTTTGGGTTATGAATACTTGGATGATTATCACCACGGAATTTGTGAGTAACGGCGCTATATCGAGTCTATTCAGTTTCTTCTTTGTCACCGAGGCCCGCTGATATATTTGGTAGGACGCAGGCGTTATATTGAAAAAGTCCGGGTTCGAATCTCGGTAATGGAGGCGCACTGCTGATAAATCCCTGCTGTCCTGCGTTTTCTGCATTCTGTTGAGGATTCTTCTAGACTTGATGAATTACTATAATGATTTGTCTAAATCCACAAAATTCTATCACACACACACACACACACATTTATATATATATATATATATATATATATATATATATATATATATATAATATATGGGTGTGTATGTATGTATATAGATCTCAATAAATAAATATGTGAATATAAAGATGTGAATAAATAAATATACTGTTTGATAGATAAATAAAAAACAGACGACCTATTCAAATACGAATATCCATTTCAAAAATAACATTAAAAAAATAATTTCTCGGATTTAATCCATCTATACGTATATAAAGGGCCGTTGTCTGTGTATGTGTGTGTCCGGTTAAAACTAAAAAACTACAAAAATTACGACAAAATAAATATATATACAGACTTATACAGACACAAGTTTTGTAAACAAAAATTATCTTCCTGTGATTTGTATTTACGAAGATATTTGAAAAATAAAAAAAATGTAATAATTGCATTACAATGCATTCAGCTTCTCAGAATTAAAAAGTAAAAACGAACAGGAGTAATTTTTATTCCGTTCGTTTTTACTTTTTAATAACGGGTTAATCCATTAACGACTAACCAGTTTTTTACTAACGCTTGATGTATTAATCCACATCGAAACATTTCTATTAAGCCCTTTTTAAATTGAATGTTACGAACGTCGGAATTGGACTCATTCGTTCCCATATATATATATATATATATATATATATATATATATATATATATATATATAGTTATATATATATATATATATATATATATATATATATATATATATATGTGTGTGTGTGTGTGTGTGTGTGTAGTTATCCTTTATTAACCACTACTTCACAAATCAGATAAAAAGCCCGGGAAGAGAGCCGACTGTGTAAAACATAGGTCGAATTTTGGAATATTCTAAAATAGATTACTGTATGAAGTTAAACGTACGTTCCAAATATAACCCTCTGTGTTTCCATGTTTGTGTACACGTATGTATGATTATGTACACGTATGCATGTTTGTGTGCACGTATGTATGATTGATTGTGTTTGGGTGTGTATATTCATCCGCATGTTTCTGTCTTTGAATTTGTGTTTATGCATGACTGCGACCATGTGTTTGTGTATGCTTGTATGTCTGTGGGTTCAGACGTGTGTGGGTCTCAGTTAGAGTGAGTCTGTGTGTTTCTACCCGCGTCCATGTGTGTATTTACGTATTTGTGTTCTGTGTGTGTTTGTGCCCCTCTTTCCATCTCTCTCTCTCTCTCTCTCTCTACGTGTGACGTACGTTTTTGTGTGTTTGTGTTCAGCAGCACCCTCAAGGATTTGTAAGCCAGCTATTGCCAAAAATAATACGACATTCAGCGCGCGTACGCGACTGCTCACGCGCGCACACACAACTCCATCTCTTTCAATTGCAAAATAGTCGCCCCGAACGCCGCCACAGGCCAACGTTATACATTGACTGGCACTGCTTTATCGTTATAAGCAAAAACCAACTCATCTTATTATGCTAAACACAATTTTTCGCCTCAAAAATATATTGCTGACTTTTACCATTTTTGAATCGATTGAGTACGGACGGCCAAATTTAACCCTTTTATAGCAATACACATTTTAAGCAGATGTGCAAACAGCAAGCGTATACTTGACAATGCAAACATTATGTCACGGTAGATAATTTTTATTACTGTCAATATTTTCAGGGAAAACTTTAGTAGAATACCATCTTATATCCAGAAGAGCATTCAAGAAAACCGGTTGCGTTTGGATGACATCTCATACACGGAAGAGCATTGAGGAAGACAGCTGGCGTTTGGATGGCATCTCTTACACGGAAGAGCATTCAAGAAGACAGCTGGCATTTGAATGGCATCTCTTACACGGAAGAGCATTGAGGAAGACAGCTGGGGTTTGGATGGCATCGTATACACTGAAGAGAATTCAGGAAAACAGCTGGCGTTTGGATGCCATGTCTTACACGGAAGAGCATTCGGGAAAACACTGGCGTTTGGATGGCATCTCATACACTGAAGAGAATCCAGGAAGACAGCTGGCGTTTGGATGGCATCTCTTACACGGAACAGCATTCAGGAAGACATCTGGCATTTGGATGGTATCTCATAGACAGAATAGCATTCAGGAGGATGTCATCTCATACACGGAACAGCATTCAGGAAGACAGCTGGCGTTTGGATGGCATCTCATAGACAGAATAGCATTCAGGAGGACAGCTGGCGTTTGGATGTCATCTCATAGACAGAATAGCATTCAGGAGGATGTCATCTCATACACGGAACAGCATTCAGGAAGACAGCTGGCGTTTGGATGGCATCTCATAGACAGAATAGCATTCAGGAGGACAGCTGGCGTTTGGATGGCATCTGATACACTGACGAGAATTCAGGAAGACAGCTGGCGTTTGGATGGCATCTCATACACGGAAGAGCATTCAGGAAGACAGCTGGCGTTTGGATGGCATCTCATACACGGAACAGCATTCAGGAAGACAGCTGGCGTTTGGATGGCATCTCATACACGGAATAGCTTTCAGGAAGACAGCTGGCGTTTGGATGGCATCTCTTACACGGAACTTCATTCAGGAAGACAGCTGGCGTTTGGATGGCATCTCATACACGGAATAGCTTTCAGGAAGACAGCTGGCGTTTGGATGGCATCTCTTACACGGAACTTCATTCAGGAAGACAGCTGGCGTTTGGATGGCATCTCTTACATGGAACAGCATTCGGGAAGACAGCTGCCGTTTGGATGGCATTTCATACCGGAACAGCATTCAGGAAGACAGCTGGCGTTTGGATGGCATCTCTTACATGGAACAGCATTCGGGAAGACAGCTGGCGTTTCAATGGCATCTCATACACGGAACTTCATTCAGGAAGACAGCTGGGGTTTGGATGGCATCTCTTACATGGAACAGCATTCGGGAAGACAGCTGCCGTTTCAACGGCATTTCATACACGGAATAGCATTCAGGAAGACACCTGGCATTTGGATTACATCTCATACACGGAACAGCATTCACGAAGACAGCTGGCGTTTGGATGGCATCTCATAGACAGAATAGCATCCAGGAAGACAGCTGGCGTTTTGATGGCATCTCATGGACAGAATAGCATTCAGGAGGACAGCTGGCGTTTTGATGGCATCTCATAGACAGAATAGCATTCAAGAAGACAGCTGGCGTTTGGATGGCATCTCATACACTGAAGGGAATTCAGGAAGACAGCTGGCGTTTGGATGTCATCTCATACACGGAAGAGCATTCAGGAAGACAGCTGGCGTTTGGATGTCATCTCTTACACGGAACTTCATTCAGGAAGACAGCTGGCGTTTGGATGGTATCTCATAGACAGAATAGCATTCAGAAAAACACCTGGCATTTGGATTACATTTCATACACGGAACAGCATTCACGAAGACAGCTGGCGTTTGGATGGCATCTCATACACGGAACAGCATCCAGGAAGACAGCTGACGTTTGGATGGCATCTCTTACCCGGAAGAGCATTCAGGAAAACATCTGGCGTTTGGATGGCATCTCATACACTGAAGAGCATTCAGGAAGACAGCTGGCGTTTGGACCGCATCTCATACACGGAATAGCATTTAGGAAGCCAGATGGCGTTTGGATGGTATCTCTTACACGGAAGAGCATTCAAGAAGACAGCTGGCGTTTGGATGGCATCTCATACACGGAACAGCATTCAAGAAGACAGCTGGCGTTTGGACCGCATCTCATACACGGAATAGCATTTAAGAAGCCAGATGGCGTTTGGATGGTATCTCTTACACGGAAGAGCATTCAAGAAGACAGCTGGCGTTTGGATGGCATCTCATACACTGAAGAGAATTCAGGAGGACAGCTGGCGTTTGGATGGCATCTCATACACTGAAGAGAATTCAGGGAGATAGCTGGCGTTTGGATGGCATCTCATAGACAGAATAGCATTCAGTAAGACAACTGACGTTTGGATGGCATCTCTTAACCGGAAGAGCATTCAGGGAGATAGCTGGCGTTTGGATGGCATCTCATACACGGAACAGCATTCAGGAAGACAGCTGGCGTTTGGATGGCATCTCATACACTGAAGAGCATTCAGGAAGACAGCTGGCGTTTGGATGGCATCTCATACACGGAATAGCATTTAGGTAGACAGATGGCATTTGGATGGCATCTCTTACACGGAAGAGCATTCAAGAAGACAGCTGGCGTTTGGATGTCATCTCATACATGGAATAGCACTGAAGTAGACTGCCCTTAAGTGATATTTGTAAAGTTATTTTTACAGATTGTTACTTGTTATATCTTCCATACTTAATCGCTGACTCACTGTTCTGCTGTGACTAAACGAATTTCTTTAAGTATTTTTAAATCAACCTCTTCTTGAATAATGTTTAATGAATGCTAGAAATTTTACTCGTGGATGAAAAGTTTAGTTGGGCCAACACATTTGTGGTTCAACAGAAGAATTCTGAGAATACCATCTATGAGTTTTTAGGGAAAATTGTAACAAAACTAAAAACTAATATGGCGACAAAAATGATGACTATAGTCCGAATAATTTACATAATGTTTGTAATAGGTCATCTCAGAGATATAGACAGATACTATCTTATTTAATCATTTTACAGATGTCAGGTGTCTACTGCACTGAACAAGCCTAATTGACTTTTCTTGCACTACCAGAATTTAACTCGAAAACGCATCGGTATAGTGACAGATGTCTTTCTAAGTCTAATCAAATATTAAGAAACAGGAAATGATGTATTATATAAGCAAGAAAAAGTGAACTGATATTTTCTTTTATTATAATGATGTTTACCTTTTTGCAAGGCCCAAGTGCCACTCGAGCTAGGGTGTTATAGAGTAAGTGGCGCAGGTTATAGGGTTACTATTTTTAATCAATTCATTCCAAGAAAGGAGATAACGCCAGTGAGAGGCCAGGGTTTGCTGGAAGTGAAAGAGAAGGGAATACTTGCGATGGAACCGGAAACGCAAATAGAAAAACAAGGGATGAACCTCTACTCCTGTTCAAAACATCGAGGAGTAGCAATAACCGGGCGATAGATTAACCGATCTGCTTCTGTATACAATATCAATCCTTTTTTTATGGTAGTGAATGCTGAACAATTTCCTCACATATAAAGAGGAGACTTGTGGAAATTGAGATGTTCTACGGAGGAATCCAGCGAATAATATGAACGGTGGATGTAAGAAACGAAGCTGTTAGAAACAAAAAAAGACAGTTGCATTTCGTATCAGAAAGAAGAATTTTAAATTTTCGGAGCGGATAACGAGAAAAGAGAGTTTGTGGAAAATATGACGTCCCTAGAGCATATTGAAGGGAAGAGCGTCAAAGAGAAACAGCGAGTAAGATGCCGAGCGGGAGTGAATGCTCAGGCGACAAAAAGAGGGGGTGGTTGTAGAAAGTTATAATTGCCCACGTCCTGAAGAGACATGGTATATAAAAGAAGACTTGGATGAGCTTACAACTTATTTTCTGGTTTAAGAACTATATTTAGTATTCACTGATTTAGATTAAATTAATTGGTGTTTTATCATGCTTCACATGTCGCACTTAGAATTTTGTCTTTAAATAGGTATTGTGATGATGACATTACAGTTCATCATTAAAAAAAAATATCTTCATTTATCTGTGACTGATCGAATGAGTGCAATCTGGATCATAGAAAGGAAATTAAACATGATACATTCGTTAGCTGCATTGTATATACTGCGACAGGGTTATATCAGATTTTGAATTAAATGTTACAGTATAGGGAGCCCAGTCTGTGCTGTTATTTAATCCATATCTGGGGATGAAGAAATGGATTCATACCTTTTTCAGCGCTATATACTGCGCCAGGGCTATATCCGATTTTGAATGTAAAGTTGCATTATAGAGAGTTCAGTATGTGCTGTTATTTAATCCATACCTGGGGGAGAAGAGATGGATTCATACCTTTCTCAGCGCTATTTACGGGAAAGTTAATGTAACGAATCTAAACAGAAGTTCGAACTTGGTCCTCCAGTTTCTTCTCCCGAGACTCTGTCCAATATACCATCCACAAATCCTTGCAACAATACGTCGAATGCAGTCGGAGGTCGGTCGCAGCTGACGTTATAGTCACTGTAAACTCCATAATCTTGTCGATGGCTTCAAAGCCTGTTATATGTCAGGGTTACATACGGTTTTGAATTCAGATGTGTCCTTCTCCTAGGCTGGTTGTCATGGCGGCTAGAGAGCATAGTTTCCCCTTCTACATAATCAGTTGTGGGGAGATGAGAATGTAAGGAACTCAGCTTGTCGATTTCTCGTACCAAACCGCTAACCATTAACCTGCATTTAGATTGTACACGTGATAATATAATTACATTTTGACAAAGTATTGTAGCAGTATAAATGTTGCCTCTGATACTGAAAACAGACTGCGTTAAATTACCTTTAAGCAAATATCAAATAAAAGGCCTTTCCTATAATATGGGAAAGTCGACAAACAATATTATTAACCGCCTCTGAAGAGAGTGATTTCGTTAAAGACACTGGGACAAGGAAGGCGATATTTATATTCAGGATATCACACAGGAACAGTGGCACAGCAATAGCAAAAGAGGCCTTGCCGAAACTAAGCAAAAGTATTAAAGAAGCGAATGTTGAACTGCTATGCAAATTCGTATCTACAATACAGCAAGGAATGCTATACAATTTCCCGCGGATGAATAAGAGATCTATACAGATGTGTTTCTACAGATGAATGCTGTAAATGTCATAGACAGAACATGTGAAGAAGGAGGAAGTTTATAAGATATGAATAATATAACAGGAACAATAAGTAAACTTATACTTACGATGAGAAAGTGACAGTTGAATTTCTTAGAATACATAGTGAAGTAAAAAAGTTTGTAGAATTTAACACCAGCGGGACACGCTGAATTCAAAAGAAGCAGAAAAAAGGCGAATAACCTACACCGTTGTGCAAATTAATTGAAACAAAACGAATAATTCCGTTATTATTTACTTTTTTTGATATTTTTCCAATGAAACATAACGCAGTGCACAAGTTAGTACTTTGTATGTCCATTCCATACATTCTCGATTGCATTTAAATCAGGGGAGTTTCCGGGCCAATCTATAGTACTTTGATTTGCTCACTGGTAAGGCTTGCCATTGTGTTCGTGCAACGCTACAATTTTCGTACGCTTCCTTGGAGTAACGTCCACCGCGGACCATGGCCGTAGGACAACTAATCGACCGTCAAGACAATAGTGTCTGGGCGTGATGAAAAACTGATGCCGTCACGGATAATGCTATATTCTACAAGGTCAAACAAATTTCATAATACACACCGAAAATAGATTCATATTACTGCACACTATTGCAACTGACCTAATCTGAGGAAAAAATAAAAATCGATTACATGTTTAATATGCCTTCATCTATAATACGCACACCTAAAATTTTTTTGAAAGTGTGGGAAAATGCTTCTACTCACGCACAATACGCACCACTAATTTGGTAATCAAACCCTATAAATTGTGCCTCTCCAATTTCATTACGGTCAGCTTTTTCGACTCTTATTTTAAAAAAATGGTTTTAAACGTAGAATAATATTATTCTAATTTAGTTTTATGATATTTTATTTTATTATTTTATATATTTTACGGCAATTTTTTAAAGATTTTTTTTGTAGCTGTGCATAATACGCACCCATGATTTTGCTTATAGTTTTTTAGAAAAAATGCGCATTTACCTTCTGAAAAGTTTCTCCACTGCTTTAGCCGGGTATTGAACTCACACTCTTTGGGTCCTGTCACTGGATCTAACTAACGCCCTTTTATACACTGTGCCATGTGTCTTTGAGGACACATGACAGAGGGAAATTAACAGCTGATAATTGATAACTGACATCCATTAAACGTGACACGTGGAACTAGAACAGTCTACCCCAGTGAGCGAAATAAAGGGTTCAGTTCGACATTCCAACCACCTGAAGAAGACCAGAGAGTACAACGGCCGAAACGTTGTAATAAATATGGCGACAAAGATGAAGACAATAGTCCGAATAATGTAAATAATGTACATAATACCTCATCTCAGAAATATAGACAGATACTAAAGGAGAGCGTACTAAACTGTTATGTAATACCCGTCTATATATATATATATTAGATATCTATAAGTCTACTTGATAAGATCCCAAAAAGAATTTGCAATATTATTGGTCCTGATCTAGCGGTTCAGCTCCAGTCACTTTTCCATCGTAAGGTTGGCTTTCTATGTCTTTTCTATAAATACTTTCATGGTAATTGTTTGAATGAGCTCTTCGCTATGGGGACTAGTTAGTACTTTCATAGAGACAAAGAGGTATTATGGTGGTTGTAGTAAGAAAGTTACCTATGAATGTGTTGTTTTGGTGTAAGGAATATTGTTTTGTACGATTGGGTCAGTGCTTGCGGCTAGCTAAGTTATAGTTAAGACAGAAGAAGACCGTCCTTTCCCCAATCCCCTTTTCGGCCTTGTGCCACATTCCTGTATTAAACAGAATAAATATTGCTCTTCGCTATAGTACCTAGACTTTTTTAATTTAAGTGCAGCACTAGGCTAGCGTCGATATCTTATCAATTTACTCTTGAGCTGGCTAAATGTAGCCGTAAATTCTATGCTAACAGTTTCTTCTCCCGCACCTCTTGCTTGTGGAACCACCTTTAGGCTCTATGCATTCCAGCCAAATTTAATCAGCAAAGATATTACCGTCCACCTCTCCTCTTTCTTTTTATGTATTTTGTTTCTGTTCCTAATTCTTCCATGCCCTGTAGGCCCTTTGTGTCGTAGTGGCTTTACTGCCTTACTTGGGGCGATTCCGATTAAAAAGAAAATGACAGTGAATGTTGAACAATCTCCTCACACATGAAGAAGAAACTTGAAGCAAAAGTAATGTGGTTCTACAGAAGGATGCTGAGAATACTATGGATCGAACAAGTGAACACGAACTGAGTTTTAGCGAAAATGGAGACAAAAAGGACACATGCTTAACATCAGAAACTGTTGAAATTTCTAAGGCAAATAATGAGGAAAGAGAGCTTGGAAAATTTGATACACATAAGACAGATTGAAGGATAGAGAGACAAAGGGAAAGAGCGCATATCCTGCTTAGAAAGCTTGAGTGAAAGGATTGTAGAACAGTTTTCTCTTATCCCAATACTCATCTTTACTCTCCATATTAATTTCCCAGTGGTGTAGCTCATTTTTTTTCTCAGTCTTATTCTCATTTCATAGCTGCGAAGATGTCTCCTTGCTCTCCTTTCTGTGCAATTATGTTAATGTTGTGGATCTCACCTACTTTTCTTCTTCATGGATTTCTAATTATTCTGCTCTTTGTTTTACGCTTTCCTCAGCTATCCTAATCTTTCCGCTCTACTCCCATCTTTCTCTTCCTAATTTACTGTTGATTATTCCACAAATTACTCGCACGAGTTCATCAGCAAATCTTTGATGTGGAAGGCCTTAACGGCCAAATGTTATTCTCTTTAGTAATGGCGTCTATAGGAAGCTTACTTCTACTTTTGGATTAGTTATGCATTCATTATTTAACGAACTCATTTATTCTGCTTCTTCGACTTCGGTTTTCTTTTCTGTTATTTTGATTTAATCTCACGGCATAACTCGTTCTCTTTTCTATTCTTTTTTTTAAAATCCCAAGCCAACATATTTAATTTCAGATTTCGACTATTCGATTTTTTCATTAAGCCTGATCATTATGAAAATGACCCTTTTCTTCCATTTATTCCATGTGAAGGATATATTTTTTCGACTTTCTCCATAGACGCATCATGACAAGCCCGTCGCTACTTTCATAGCAAGAGCTTCATTCTTGAGTGCCAAAGTTTCACATCTTGTTACATCCAAAGATAAATTTATCCCCATTGCTTACGTAATACTTTGGTAAAAAGGCCGTTCCATTCCTAAAGAAATACAGCAACTTTTCGGAACAAACACCCGAGTGGAGGATTCTACAAAATTAACTTCATAAAGTCTAGAGTCAATCGTTATCGATCCGCCATATCCTCGTAATCGTCGCTCCCCTCTTCCTCCTAAGTTCATATTGCAATTCACATTCGTAATGCCCTAGCTTAAGTGGCTCACAGGATTTGTATGTTGTGAATTTTAATAAATAAAAAATTATCAGCACCAAATTACACACGAAAACGACACATCGTAACGTGTCTTTTGTTAGCGCAAAACCGTTGAAATTCTCTAAATTGAAGAATAAAACCAATTTCAGCGCAAATAGAAAATTTATTGTGAGGTCTCTATTCGCGCTCAGTGGTAATGATCCTATTTTTAATGTTTTTATGTAACGATACAGACGTGATGGTCAAGGAGAACAAGTGCGGACCAAAGATTAACAAGAGAATCGAATCTTTTTTATTAAACATTACATTTTATTCTACTGTCAGTCAGTATGTGGTGCGGACCCTTCGCTTCTGGATCGAAATGTGTGCCTTGCTATTTCCTCGGCGATGTCTCAGAGATTCACCAATTCCTCTTTCAAGTGGCTGTTTATATAGTTTTCAAGCTTGTTGTTCCCAAACATACAAAAGTGAATACAGCTGTGACTATCTCGCGTGATTCTCCGTCTGGCGTTCGGGAGTCATTTTATGTCAACAATGTACTTGGTTACCATGATCTGGTGTGAAACTGATTCTTCCATAATACTACGATTGCAAGAAATGAATAGAAAGTCATACGAACATTGAAAACGAAGGAATGAAAATATTAATTGCTCCGTAAAATAAATGCAGACGTGTATACAGATATATTTATTCAATCATATTGAACCAATCACTGGAGTCTGTTGCTGGCAACGGGTTGTATGTCTTAAGACCAGAATCCAACTTACACACTCATAAATCTACTATTTGTTCACGAATCACATCTGGTCGGGTCTAGTCCTGTCTATTTCTGCTATGTATTTTAAGTCTGGTGAGTACCTAAATGTATGACCGCTTGGGAATACCAGCTGCCGTAAGCTTGGATGTGCGGGTTTTATGTCTTAAGGCCATATCACACTGAAACACCGGTTCTCGTACAATCACCGAAGTTAAGAAACGTCGAGCCTCGTCAGTACCTAGATGGGTGACCGCTTGGGAATACCATGGGCTGTAAGCATGGATGTGCGAGTTATATGTCTTAAAGCCATATCACATTGAAACCACGGTCCTCATGCAATCACCGAAGTTAAGCAACGTCGAGCCTCGTCAGTACCTAGATGGGTGACCGCTTGGGAATACCATGGGCTGTAAGCATGGATGTGCGAGTTATATGTCTTAAAGCCATATCACATTGAAACACCGGTCCTCATGCAATCACCGAAGTTAAGCAACGTCGAGCCTCGTCAGTACCTAGATGGGTGAGCGCTTGGGAATGCCAGATGCTGTAAGCAGGGATGTGCGGTGGTTTTAATGGTTAGTGGTTCGGAATTGTTAATCGGAGAGCCGAGTTCCAATTCCCATGGAGTTCGTTATATTCACATACGCGCAAATACACTTGGGAAAGGCATGAACTTCTTATTTCCCAAGCAAATCCTTAATTATTATGATTTGTATCACTATTATTATCTCCGAAAAACGTCTTAAAATCTAAAAAAATATTTTCTGGCTTTAAATAATCTCCAAAGAAATCAATGAATCAATCTGGTTGGGACTCGGAAGGAAATGACTATGCATCAGAATACAAAGGAAATAATAATAATAATAATAATAGCACTGGTTTGAAAGCTAAGACAAAAAGCCTAATTATTGTAGCTCAGGGCTAAAGCCTCGCAACCAGCTCCTACCACAGTCACATAATCAAGGATGGAACTAACTCGAAATGCAGGTCTGCGAAAAAATATGATGAAACTGTCGACCATATTATCTCAGAATATCTGGAACTGACAAAAAATGGATACCGAGAGACATAACAAGGTAGTGACATATGTGCACTGGGAGATATGCAAGAAGCACAAAATCGAAACCACTGAAAGATGGTATGAGAATCAACCAGACACAATCAGCCATAATAACGATGAAACTATCCTCTGGGACATGCCAATTCAAACTAACAGGGAAATAAAAGCATATTAGAAATAGTATCATAATAATAAAAGCATAAAGAAATATTATCATAAATGACAAGAAATTCAGGAAGTGTATGCTTATTCACATATTCACCTGAGAATTATCGAAAATTACCATGAAAATTATCGGGAAATTATCCAAATACAAGGACCTGGAAATCGAGATTAACAAGATGTTGGGAATGAATACTGAGGCTGTCCCAATAATAATCAGAGCTCTAGGCCTTGTGAGAAAATGAATGGAAAATTTTACTAACAGTTTCTTCAGATAACATCGAGAGAAAAATTGCCCAGAAGAGCGCCCTACTAGGAACATAACATATACTAAGAAAAGTGCTATAAATTAAATGACAATTCTCTTATAGGTCCTAAGGACCATAGTTGGGTCATGTCTCTGCAGGATACAAAGCAGGAAAGATAATGTACACAAATAATAATAATAATAATTCATATATAATAATAGAATATTTTATAATAGTTTTATATCGACACATTTTATTTTCCCATATAAACGAATCAATATTTCATGAGCGCCATTATTTTATGCAACAATTAGCGATCTTTTCATTTTCATTTCTTTCTCGCTTCCAACATAAGCATTTACTTTTATTTGGGTTTTTCTTTTGTTGTTGTTGTTTTTTTTTTTCCTAATTTGCAAGCTTGAATGTCGAAAAATCATTTAACAATCGACTCCTGTTGATTTCGGATTATTTAATATTTTTTCTTTTTACTAAATGTTCACTCAGTACAAGTTAGATGGTTACTAAATGAGGTTGTTGTATGGACGTCAAAAGTGGTAGTAAGTGCAGATTGAGGGATGACCCCAAAATTGAAGAGGTCAAGTGTTCAGGGAAGAAGAATCCTTTCTGGAGTCTTCCAAAGAGTATTTCCTCTTAGGAAGAAATTGCTTCTTACCAATGAAATACAAAGGAGAATTAGATGTTTCTCCCCTGGGCATTATTACTTGCTACATGACTGGCCACTTACCATGGAAGTGTAAGGGCTTATTAGTTGAAATATTTATTTTTGGAACATTGGAGTTACCAATTGTAAAGTTGCCCGTTTGTAGATAGACCAATACTATTTATATTATTATACTTTCAACGTACGTTTCAAGTAAACAACAAAAACTCCAAACTGTGAATTAACAAGTACATAATGAAATAACATACAAGAACAAACATACAATAAAATTGTATTTAATGTATAGACTAAAGAAAAAGAAATTGTTCCCCTTTAATTGTATTTTGATTTGTAATTGTTCGAAGGAAGTTCTTTGTGAGAAAAAAATGTTCAGGAATCAATATTAGAACAAAGGTCTGCTTGTTAGACTAGATAACACAAGAATACAATCGATCAAAATGTGTTGTTATAGAATGGTTCGAGTCCTGGTTGATTGAGCTTGGCTGAGACACAGAGAGAAATGCAAGTTTATATTACGAAATTCAGTGGCTGTTTGTGCGTTTGAAATGTTATGAGCAAGATCATGGACTTGTATGGACAGGTGAATTTTGATGGATCTTACTGACGACTTGTGAAAATGTCGCTTCTTTTATGGAAAAAGAGTAGGCTCCCACGGCAACGCGGGAAAACTTAATCTTGCACTAAAATATGTGATTGGTTAAATATTAACCAATCACTACATTCGTACTAACAGAACAAGCAAGCAAGCTCAAAACCGAAGGATTCAAAGAAACGACTGCGATTGCTAAATTGTCCTATATAAAAGTAGTAGTGATTTATTAGCCAATCGCAGACGAATAAAATGTGGGCGTGGAAAAACATAACAATCGCTACAGAAGGACTTTATAATGTATTGCATAATGTGATACATGAATACTTTGATATCAAACTGTGTGTTGTGAACTGACGACAAGATATAGGTTTATTTAATTTTTCTGTATGGATTATGGAGTTTTCTTTTTTCTTTTATCATATCGCTCCCACCCTCTTTATGTACGCTCTCTATTTCTCCAGATGAAATGACAACTCTCTCTTTTACCATACATTCCCCGCTCTGTCAATAACATCATCTTTCCCTTGCAAATTGTTGTGCAGCGGTGAGGAATCTAATTGAAAGAATGCCATGAAATAACATCTTCAGTTTCCGTTTTTGATAGCGTTTATCGTCTGACCTTTGAACTTAGACACACACACCCCAATACCTACTATTCTGCTATAGTTCGCTCTTCCTTCATTGCCCTCTTTGACGGCCTCGTTCTCTTACTCCTTGTATCTGTCTCTCTATCTCGCTTTAAACGACGACAATTTTCTAGCCTTCTCAGCACATTGCTCATGCGCAGTCTGACGTTAGGGATTTGGAAAGAAAAACGAAATGTCTATAGTGTGTGTTTCTATGAAGGCGTAAAAAAACATGAATTAAATCTCCCTGGGAGCCCAAATTTTAAACACATACGTAGCATCACCCCCCCACACACACACATATAGGATTGGTGTATACGGAATAAATTCCAATAACCAAAAAATACCATTCTTAAATTAGTGCTCGATACAGAATTGAGCAAATATAATTATTTATTCGAAAAACAAGATAAATATGTTATAAAATCACTACAAAAATAGCGATTTTGTTTTAACACTTCTGGTGTCTTATAAAGTGATGGTGTTGAATGCAGAATAAATGGTTTTTAAAAAACAAAAAGAAAGAACAAGACATCGTAACGATTTTCTTTTCTCCTGTTACTTTGCAGTGTTTTCCGTTGCATTGTCATGCTGAATAACAACACCATTTCTCTTTACATAAGCAGGACACATTAGGTTTAATGTTTCGCTTACCCGATCAAGTTGCTGGCAATATATTTCGACAGTAATGATTCTTCCCTATTCAGTATTTGGTAATAGATGACACTTTTCTCATTTCCAAGCAAAGATTTCTGAGTCAAATTTTGGGGGTGACACTGGATTCTCATTCTGTGATAAGCATTGACTTTTTGTTTTCATGCTGTTAAAAAATATGAGGAACTAATTCTAGACACAGTTGCTTACCAACTACTACTTTCCTACTTTCGTTAGTTGACTCATAATTAATATCAGTGAAAGATCTGATTTCCGAATGCTCTAATATATAATGGATTTATTGATAAATAAACATTTGTTATGACGCTTTGTTTGCATAATAAAATCTAACGACCCCAAAAAATTATCACTATTTTCCAAATTTGACTTTAAATGTTTTCTTTTTTGGAATAGCTCCTTGGTCAGGACCGAGATATTTTCAGCACTCTAATCTATCTATCTATCTATCTATTTATCTATCTATCTATCTATCTATCTATCTTGTCTTGTTTGCATCACCTCCGAGAATCAGTTCCAGTGTCGTCTGCTGCTATCGAGTTTCTGCTTTTCCAGTTGACGCCATCTTGCGAGACGATATATCAGCAACTTTGGTGTTAGTTACAAGTAAAGTATCTGACGTTATATTCTAAGGATATTTGGAAGGTTACCCTATCTTCGTGTTGTGTCTCAGCAGCGACCGGTGCGGGTTGGGAGACTTGCTTGCAGTGGGTAGGGCGAGAGGGTCCCCTTTGCGTTTCAGTTGTTGTGCTTTTTATTTATGCTTCGCTTCGTTCCTGTTTTATCCCGAATCTTAAAAGCAAATGGTAAAGAGATAAGCATTGACTGAAAACGATCTGATTACGAAGAAGAAGAAGAAGAAGAAGAAGAAGAAGAAGAAGAAGAAGAAGAAAAGACACAGTGAAAGGCAAATGTGGAAAAGAAGAGGTGGAGAGAAAAGGGAGAAAGACATGAAGGAAATATATTGACAAGAAAGAAAAAAAAAATAAATATCATAAAAGGGAAGAGTAAAGAAATGAGTAAAAAGAAAGAAAGAAAAAAAGAAAGAGGGATGAAAGTAAACAAAATTGGTAAGGCACTTTAGAGATGAAGACAAAAAATGTTGAAAGGGCCCCCTTTTTTTCACGACAACAAGCAAGCAATGGAAAATATAGAAAAACAAACTTAATCCAAACTGCAGTGAAAAATAAAATAAAATTTAAATATTTAAGAAAGAGAAAAAATAAGAACAACAAAAATAAAGAAAATCTAACAGATAAGAAAATAAAAATCAAATAAAGAAAACGGTACAAAGTTAAGAAAACAAAAGAAAGAAGAAAAATAAAGAAAATAATAAAAAAAGAGCAAAAATTTGGAGAAAACAAAATAAAAAAAAGAAAGTTGAAACAAAAGAATGAAGAGGAAAACTAAAAATGAAAAATAAAAAAGTAAGAAAAACAAACAAAAAATCATAAAAATAAGAATGAGAAACATTAAAAAGATAGACAACAGAAGAATGAAAAACTAACTAAACTGAAAGAAAAAAAGAGGAAAAATAAAAGAATCAGAAAGAAAAAGAATGAAGCTAATAGAAGAATAGAAAGAGGGTAAATTAGGAAAAAGAAAGAAGAGGAATGAAATAAATAAAGAATCGAAAAGAAATAAACGAAAGAGAAGCAATTAAGAAGAATGGTCTATAAGGATGAACGAAAGAGAAAGGGAGAAAAACAGTAAACAAGAACAAAAGAAAGAGGAAAACACGGATGCATAGAAAGAAAGAAAGAAAGAAAGAAAGAAAGAAAGAAAGAAAGAAAGAAAGAAAGAAAGAAAATCAAAAACAAGAAAAGCAAACCTAGATAGAAAAAAAGAAAGAGGAACATGATAGAATGAAAATGAAGAAGCATAAAAAGAACGTAAAGGAAATCAAAAGAAAAAGACTTAAATAAAAAGAAACAAAAGAAGCAAAAGAAAGAAAGAGAATGAAAGAAAGAAAGAAAGAGAATGAAAGAAAGAAAGAAAGAGAATGAAAGATCACCAGAAAAGAAGTAAATAAAATAAAACTAAATAAGAATGAAAGAAAAATAAAGTACAACACGGAAAAAACGATTATAAATAAAGAAAGAAAGAAAGAAAAAATAGAAAGAAAGAAAGAAAGAAAATGAAACATATAGAAAGAAAATGAAGAACGTTAACAAAAGAAAAAGAAAGAAAGAACTAAATTGAAAGGAAGGAAGGAAGGAAGGCAGGAAGGCGGGAAGGAAGAAAGGCGGGAAGGAAGAAAGGGGGAAAAGAAAATGATAAAAGCAAGAGAATAAAAGTGAATAAATGAAGTTAAAGAAAGACAAAAAGAAACTAAACAGAAAGATGAAGTAAAATAAAAGAAAGAAAGAACTAAATTGAAAGAAAGAAGGAGAAAGATGAAAGAAATAGAATGAAAGGAAATCATTAAATAATTAACGAGAAATAAGAACAGAAAAAAGAATAATAAAAAGAGGAGACAAGAAGGAAGGAAAGGAGAAATAGAAAGAAGAAAAAGCAGAAAGAATATAAGACGGGAAAAGAAAGAAAGAAAGAAAGAAAAAAAGAAAGAAAGAAAGAAAGAAAGAAAAAGAAAAAGAAAAATAAGGAAAAAGATGAAAAAAAAGAAGGAAAAGAACAAGAATAAAAAGAATAAGACAGAAATAAAGAAATAATAAAAGAAAGAAAGAACAAGAATAAAGGAAAGGATAAAAGATAGAACAAGAAAGAAAGAAAGAAAGAAAGAAAGAAAGAAAGAAAGAGCTATATGGAATTTTGACGTCAGGAGTAATAAAGAGGGTAATCACATAAAATTTTGTCAGATTATTGGCCACGTAAAGTCGGCTTGACACTCGGATCTTTTCTGAAAAGTCGAAAGCATCTTTAACCCGATATCCAGAATAATTCTTTTCACATTAAATCTAAGAGAATAACGTAATTTCCAAACACTTACGCTTCGTCTACAACCATTAAAAGAGTTTAGATTCTTGCCAAGATTTCTTCTTAAAATCTCCAACTCATCCTCCTCACCCGCGTTCCTGTTTCTACGGCTACACTAAATCGTTTTAGATTTATTCCTCTTGCTTTAAACCATTTTTAAAGAGAAACGCGTATGCTTACGAGCAACGCACCGTCGTGCCGAGAGCCATTTTCATTTGCCGACACCCTTCAGGATGTGAGCGAACATAGCTCTCCATAACTTCCTTTTTAGTTCAAAGTACTGTTTGTCTCCTTAAGCACAGTCATCATATTTCACACTTAGTTGAGATTTAATCTCACCTACGGAAAAAAAATATTATTTACTCAACTCCGATCGTTGTCAATTATTATCAGCGAGGGGATGAACCATTTGGGAGGGGGGGTTGAAGAAGATTTCTCCGAATATAGATTTACATCTGGCTAGGGCGTTAACATCTCTCCCCTTTTCCCTCTCGGTGGTGGTGTTTATATAACTATCTGTAATACGGACACCATGTGAGTTGGACACGTGATTCCTTGTCGAAGAAGGTCAATGACATTGTGTAAAATGCGGATGGATCTGCAACTGACGACCAGAAAAGACCCTCTCAACTCGCGATCCACGTAGCTTTGCTGAAAGACACTGAGTGCAGGGTCTATTTTTACATTGACTTCACTTACTATAACTATCGTTCACTGATGAGTCATATATATATATATATATATATATATATATATATAATAAAAAAGGCTTAAACACTTGGAAACTTTTATATATATGTATGTGCATGTATGTATGCATATATATTTATATATTTTAGATATATATATACATATATATATGCATATTAACCACTAATATTATCTATCTATCCATATATATATATATATATATATATATATATATATATATATATATATTTACTTTAAAATCCGGACTTCAGTTAAATCCGCTACCTTGGTTTCAACCTTACGATATTCTCAGGCGAAATAAACAAATGCGCGACACTGTGTATAATAAAAAGGGAGGGGAATGTGAAGAAGAAGAAGAAGAAGAAGAAGAAGAAGAAGAAGAAGAAGAAGAAGAAGGGAAGAGAAGAAAACAACGGTATTATAAAAAAATCGGTGGGGGAGGGGGGGAATTGAAATGTAATTTTTTTTATCCACTCATATGTGCTTAAGAGGAAAAAATAATATAAATTATATATATATATTTATATATATATATATATATATGCACGTGTAGTGGAAAGTGCTCAATATCCGTGATAGAGCTAATACATGCTGTTCCATGGATAGTAGTTTGCGACCCCGGATTTCTAGCTTTCGAGATCTCCAGATAAATTGGTTTATTTTTTCAAAAGTGGATCTATTCATACTTTATTTGTATTTGATTATTTATCTATGGTGGAGGGGGGAAATTTTCTTCTGTCTTTGTTTGAGATGACACTCACATATACATAGACGCACATACATACAGTCATATGCATATTAGTTCGTCTATACGCACCCATATTCATACTCTTGTTTTAGATGCAGTTACACATTCATACATTGGAGCACACGTATTTACGCAACTTTCATTCTGTCTATTTCGTTGTCAAGATTGTAGCGATTCATAGGTAGCAATGTTCTCTTAGTTGGGGTCAGGTGTAGGTGGTTTTGACGTTTGTCAGGTTGACTGTTTGCACCGGCTCACATGCACTCACACATACACACACATGTAGATGCATTGACACATGTACATATATAGAGACTCGTTGATTTGGGTCTGCTACCACCACGTGGGTTAAGTTTTGTTCAGTCTGTAGACATGGTGATGATTGTATTTTTAACAACAACTGAGGCTGTGTTATTAACGATTGTGATCATGTTAATGGTAATATTAGTTGTGATGTTATTATTGATATATTGATAATAATTAATGTGTTATTGGTTACGATAAACAGCAAAGTTATCCTTAATAATTATGGAAACAATCGTAACCATGATAATAATAATAATAATAATAATAGCAGCATTAAAAAAGGGAATAAAAATAAATAATAATAATAATAATAATAATAATAATAATCCAATACTTTTTGCAGATGCAAGTGCCTCTTTTTTGATATGGCAGTCCCTGCAGACTGCAATGTATCTTTGAAGATATTGAAAAAGATGTCAAAATACAAGGACCTTGAAATAGAAATCTCAAAAATGTGACACATGGGAACATCAACAATCCTTGTTGTAGTTCGAGTCCTAGGATTGGTTGGAAAAGATTCCAGTAGACAAATTGAAGTGATTTCTGGAAGTCCATGCCTCAAAGAGATGCAAAAAATTGTTCTGACAAGTACAGCCTACACTTTACGAAGGGCTTTATCTATGTATTTTTTTTTCTCAATGGAAAGTGTCATGATGCCATTTCTAACCTTAGGTCCTTGGGCGGGACCTGGAAAGAAATGTGTAAACGCCAGAAATCAAAGAAAATAAAAAAAATAATAATAAATAAAATCGTAATAAAGATAATAATTACAATGGTAATGATGAAAATAGTTGTGGTAATAATAATAATAATAATAATAATAATAATAATAATGACAATAATGACAATGATAAAAAGCAGTACTAATGGTGGTAGTGGTGGTTATGAAGTAATTGTTCTTAAAGTGGTAACAACAATACTAATAACGAAAGTAATAGTAGTAATCAGAAAAATAATAATTTTGGAGTGTTAATGCTTATACCTTTCGTAATAGCCGTGCTAATTATTATGGTGGTGATTGTGTATGCGGGGGTGGTGGTAGTGTTGATAACAGTGCTGGTAGGGTCATTAATTCCTGTTGGTTTACTGTTCCGGCGTTTTAGTGTTCTCCCATTTTTTCAGTCGGTTCCTTCCCGTTTGTGTGTGTGTGTGTGTGTGTGTGTGTGTGTGTGTGTGTGTGTGTGTGTGTGTGTGTGTGTGCATTTAGGCAGAAAATTCTCTTTTAGGCATGTCTGATTAAATAAATTACAAACATTATGTCTCCTTATTTTTAGCATAATCCTTTCATGTTCACGGATATTTTTTCGTGTATTACAATCAAATGAGGCGGTTGTGTTATTAATGATTGTGATCAAATCACAAATCTAACCAATTAAATAACTCCTAATTGTCATGTTCCTTCAGGACCTTAGCGATCATGACTCTCCACAATTTCTTGTCCTTTGTGACAGTAAATATTATCTTTTTGCTATCTCTCCTAATCCCTGTCCTTCAGTCATTTGCGCAAACTCTCTAGGTAGGTTATGCACCGTCTTCCTCTGTCCCTCTTGACTTCAACATGACCTGCGAGTATCAAATATTCTAAGCCCTCTTTCTTCAGTATTTGTTCAAAGAATGCCTCTTTATGAATCAAATTATAATATATAATTTGTTCTCTATGACATTCTCAACATCCTTCTGTAGGACCACGTCTCTGTTAATTCAACACACCTCCACGTCTGTGATAAATTACTTCAGTATTCATTGGCATATAGGAGGAGTAAGTTTACACGCAGTTTCAACACTCTTTTCTCTGGATCTATTTTTCTGTTTCATAATACTTTATTTAGCCTTTGGAAAGCATCTTCAGCTAATCCAATGTGCCTTTTAATTTCTGTGTAACATTTTCCATGATATGTTTGAACATTTATCAGGTAGCTTCAATGTACTTTGTTGCTGACATATTTTAATCCAGGTAATCTGTTGTTTCAAATGTCTTCTGCGCCTGTAAGAGTCTTATCCAGCATTCACTTCCATATAGGAGAGTTGATATTGCATACAAGTTGATCACTTTCTTTTTTCTTAACGATTTTTTCGAGTTTCTCATAATAGTCTTATGTCTTCTATTGACGTATAAAATGCCTTGTCCTTCAGCAAGTCTTCCATGGCCGGCTACTGGATTATGGCTATAATAAAAGGAAGAAAGGCCGATTAAACTGTCCTTTAGCCAGAGGACAGTGTTTTCAATTACTGTCTTGCAAACCGACATAAATCGTTAGCCTGAGGCAAGATATGAAATCTTTAACAAGACATTTGTCGCAACAGTTAGTGAAATTATATTCGGATCATAACGACATCTCTTTTCATCTTTTCCTTCTGGATAGAGAAACACCACTGATAATCCGGTAATTCCTTTAATCCAAATTAAATAACGGATAAACATTTTATCACTGCCTAGATGCTGGCCTTGGTAGAGTAGTTTGTACTTAAGTTCTCGGCAAACAATGTGTTTCGTTCAATTTATTCGTAAGCAATAACAAAGTAAATTCGAAAGAGTTAACAGTGTAAAAGAATATAGCGTTTGAAGCTTATGTGTCCAACGTATGTATGAGTTTTTCTTCTTGTAAATTTTCTTAATTTATTCTTCTGATTCTACTAGTCCAGGAGTAGATACACCCTAGTGCAAATCACTCTAAATCGCTTTAGTTTCCTTTCTTTCACCATATGGTCACTTTTAGACCCACTGGAGTGACAGGGTGTAATCGATTTCTATTTTTTTTTTGCCTCAAATTAGGTCATTTGCAGTGGTGTTCAGTAATATGAATCTATCTTCGGGGTGTGAAATTTGTTTGGCCTTGAAAAATATTGCGTCATCCATGATTGCATCATATTTTCATCACACCCAGACACTATTGCCTCGACTGTCGATTAGTTGTCCTACGGCCACTGTCTGCAATGAAGTACTATAGACTGACAAGGAACGAATTCGTGGTATGAACATACTAATTACTAATTATTATGGTTATGTTACATTGGAAAAAATACGAAGAAAAAGTCAATAATAACGGAATTATCCGTT